CACACCTTCTCAAATCAATTCTTTTCAACCCTTCCCACTTCGTTTTATCCTTACTCAGTTGAAACTCATGTAGCGCATCTACAACCGAAGCCCATTTGGAAGCCTATTGGAATGCATATCCTCTTTGTTCTTCTGTCTTTCAACTTTTCTGTGAAAACAACAAACCACCCCCTCTCGTTTCTCCTCGTTACTGCTTCGAAAATCTTCCCCACCTTCTTGAGACTGTTTCGCCATTGAGGTATCCTCACTACATAAACAGCAACATCCAAAAAAAAAATTAAACAAACTACCTCATCTTCCAACAAAAGCATCGAGGTCCATTTTTCGTCATTAAACTACAAATAATCCAGCCCTTTGCGAATGACTCTGCTAATCTCAACTTCTTTGCTTCTACTTCTATTTCCTCTGACCACCCCATCACTCTTTATTTTATTTTTCCTTTGCTGGACTACAATATGTTAAGGCCATTGCCAATATCAGAATGATCTTATTCTTATTCCCCCCTTAATGCATATGGAGATGCAATGATCTTCGAGGGTCCTCTTCAAAATCAGAACACCTATAGAAGGATGTAAAAGCAGCCATAAATATTGCAACTAATCCCATTCTCCACATTGGGACAAAACACATTGAGGTAGATAAGCAATTCATAAGAGAGAAGCTTGACAAGGGTGAAATCTGCACTTCCTATGTTAACTCTAAGGAGCAACTAGCTGATGTTCTCACAAAAGGTCTTCCTTATTTGCAGCACAATGAACTTTGTGACAAGTTGGACATGATTAACATATACAACCCAACTCGAGGGGGAGTGTTGTCAGCCTGTTATCAGAGTAACAGTGTTGTGAGGATGTTCTTTTCTTGTGGTTTTATAGTCTTTTAATGGTGTGGACCGTCAGGGCTGGAACTATAATTGTATTTCCTTTTTTTATCACCCTAACAGAAATAAAGCATGGGGCACCACTACCCAAGAATTGGGCACTCCAAAAACACTTTTCTCTAATCCTCTTCTTCTCTTCACTGTACAATCAAATCTTGAATGAAAGAACTCCTCTCCAAAAAAATATGTATACATTGGCTCATAATCCATCCCTTGTTCTCATGGTAATATTCAGTTAGAACTTTTGAAAGGTATTTCAGTACTTTCATTTCATCAAGTATAAATATGTCATCTTTTTACGTGGTTAATTTCATTAATGATAGTTTATAGAAAGTGTACAGAATCAACGTACAAGGCATACACTCATAATTAAAAAGGCAGAAAAGAAATACATCTAACCTAAGGTTGCTCATTATTGTCCATGCACCGAAAAGAGCACCCCTTCCAACACAAAATTCTCTATAAGCCAAGTAAATATTCTCCTGAGCTCAATTCCAGTCTACCTACTTTGTGGCTTGGGCAAGAGAACCTCACAAGGAATTAGTGGATCAAGGTGTTCACAGAATTTCTACTTGTAGCCTAAGGCAATAAAAATCATGCTTCCCTAAAATTTGATGTCTGATTGTCCAAGCTCCATCCATTTCTCCAATTAGCCTGTTCACGATTAATTTTCAGTCTCCTATCATCAAGCTCCAAAATCCAGAAGCAAGGCTAACTGCTAAGTTCAGTCCTTGAAGAACAGCTTCTAAATAGCTCTTATGAAGTTTCCAGCACCAATTTGTCTTGGAAAGCTGGCTCTTTTGTCATAACCACAGTTGACCAACAGACACCAGGACCCACAGCTCCTTTTCTTTTTTGACAGTTGGCCGACAGCTCCTTTACAGGTCAATAAACATTCCAATTATAACAAAATCGATGATGAGTAAGCAACCAGAGCCCAATGCTTCAAAAGTAGGACCTTAATTCAACTACATACAATATTCACCACCACCTCAAACAAATGAATAGATAATCATCTGTTCCCTTTAATAATTTATTGTGCTCCTTAAGTCAACAGCTCCACCTCCTCATCCCTCTCCACTTCATCCCTAACTAGCATTACTATTCCTAATTCCCTATCACTACCCCCAATAAGCCTGATCAGAGCCACCCTATCCACCTCTAAACCCAACCTTTCCCTCCTGTGTCACAAACGCCTCCCCCTATCTCAACTAAAAAGTCCATCATCCCAGCAATGTCCACTGACACTTCTCTAGCTATAACAGAGATCTCAACTAAGGCTGCAAGCAAGGTTGCCCAACTTGAAAAATGTCAATTACATAGGGCTCATGTTAGCTGGTTAGGGTTCGGGCACATTGAAAACCGACCCAAGTTGCACCCCTATGGTACCAGACCCAGGAGAGAATTTACTAGTGTTATCAGCCTCGTTTTTTTTTATCAATAAGATAGTATTTTATTAGAGCGAAATAAGAAAGTTACAACAGGGTGAGAGTTTTTCCCCCAAAACACAGTTTTACAGTTTTTCCCAAAACATTTGATATCCCATAGCCCCATGTTTAGCTAGAGTATCTGCCATCCCATTTGCTGTTCTTCTCACCTATTTGAAAATAACATTCAACTCCCTTGCAATGCTCTCAATCTCCCTAAATGCATGACTATAGATTCAAGTGTTATCAGCCTCATGTTGTTGTTCTTGTCTTCATCATTTTCATCTAGGAGGTTATAGAGTGCTTTCAAATTGATATTCTAATGAAATTTACAGTTACTTATCAAAAAAGCGCTTCTTTGAGATTCATCCAATCCCCTTTCTACAAGAGGAATAAATGGTAAACTGCCCATGTTTTATATGCAACAATCATGAAGAAGATTGGGCTGAATTCAGGGTTCAGGGTTGGGAAGGAAGGGCTAGTTATATCTCATTTGCAATATGCTGATGATACTTTAATTTTCTTGGGGGCATCAGCTGAGCAAACTATGTCACTAAGAAGTATTCTTAAGAGCTTTCAGTTGCTCTCAGGTCTTAAGATTAATTTAAGCAAAAGCATAATGATAGGGGTAGGTGATGCTCAGCAGTTGGTGCTTGAAGAGTGTGCTAAGGCCATGGGTGTTTGATTGGGCAGTTTCCGTTTTCCTATCTTGGACTTCCAATTGGTGCTAGAGCTACTTCAATCTCCACTTGGCAACCTGTTTTGGACAGAATTGATAAGAGGCTTGCGGGGTGGAAAGGGAAGTATTTATCATTTGCAGGAAAATTAACATTGATAAAATGTGCTTTCAAATTTGCCAGTTTACTACTTATCTTTACTAAAAGCTCCAGCTGCTGTGGTGGGGGAGATTGAAAGGTTGGATAGAGAATTTCTGTGGAATGCTAGGGCTGGGAGAAAGAAGGTACATCTGGTCAAGTGGGAGCTGGTGTGTAGATCCAAAAGAGATGGGGGTTTAGGGGTGAAGAGGGTGGGTATCTTCAACAAAGCATTACTGGGGAAGTGGGTTTGGAGGTTTGGAAAGGAAAGGGAGGCTCTTTGGAGAAGAGCGGTGGCTTGCAAGTATGGGGTGATGAATTTTGGGTGGGACTCAAAGGAGGTGAGACATGCATGTTGAGTCTGTGTATGGAAAGGTATTATGAGTTTTAACTCTTTGCTGGTTCCTTTCTATACATGGAAAGTGGGCTGTGGGTCAAGTATAAGGTTTTGGGAAGATGATTGGTCGGGGTGGAGAAATTTGCTGATTTATGATCAAGATTATATGATCTGAGTAAGAAAGAAGTGCCAATTTCAGATTGCCATGAAGTAGTTAAAGGTGCTGTGGTTTGGAAGCCAAATTTTAGAAGACCTCTTCTCGATTGGGAGGTAGAGGAGTGTGTGGAGTTGCTTGCAAAACTTCAGGCATTAGACATCAACCCTTCAGTCACAAATGTTAGATTATGGAAAGAGTTTAAGGATGGGAAGTTCTCTGTCAAGTCCTTGTACTTGGCACTGATCAGAAATCGGGTGGTGGCTGATCCAGTTAAAGGTGTTTGGGGGAAGCCTGTACCACCAAGGGCTGAAGCTTTTGCTTGGTTGATTGTAAGAGGATGCATTCTTACACAGGATAACTTGAAACTCAGAGGGCTGCAGTTTCCAAGAAGATGTGTGTTATGTTGTGCTGCTCAGGAAGATGTGTTTCATATTTTGCTCCATTGTAACTTTTCATACCCAATCTGGTCCTATTTTTTCAAGTTATTCAAGGTGGTCAGAAGTACTTTGGCTGATCCGTCTGAGATTTTCAGCAGCTGGCCAAAAATTCAAGGTGGAATTAAAGTTAAGATCCTATGGACATGTATTCCTTTTGCTGTATGCTGGGAAGTATGGAAGGAAAGAAACAGAAGGAGCTCTGATAGGTGTACTTAGCTGTGTATTATTTCTGCAAGCTTTACTTGTTTTGTGGCTTTTATTGATGTAATTCGGAGGGGGTGACATCTAGTCACCTAGTTATTTTGTAGTGTTTTTACCTTTTAGCAATAAAATTTCTTTTTATTTATCTTCAAAAAAAATGAAGAAGATGACCAGTTTATGTATTATGCGCAAAAGCAGAGTATCTCCAATGATCAGCATATGCTCTGCATGCAACAATCAAGAAAAAGATGTTAGGCATTTACATATCCATCCCAGTATTGCTGAATTTATTTAGTCTTTCATTTTCTGTTTGTTCAGAAAGCCAGACTATAGTTCACTAAGCAAGGAAAACCGATTATTTTCATCCAAAAAAACAGTAGAAATAATGAGCTAAATAAGCAAAAGAAGACCTTTTTTTATCAATAGCAAAAGAAGAACTTTTCCTAACATATAAATCAACCATAGGCACTGCAATCAAGGATAACCATATCAGTTATTCAAGTGTGTTTATAGTCAGACATCAGGACAGCTTTATTTAGCAAAATAAAAAGCAAATGACAGGAAACCTACTAGATTTCTAGAGCAGAGTATAGAAGATCACGAGCAGTAAGCTTTTACAAAAAAAAATATCAAATATACAAATATTTATAAGGAACAGAGCAGAACTAAAATAGACATAATTGCCAGAAATAGTCTTGTGTAGTCAAACTATGGGCATACAAATACATAAAAACGCATTGAAGAAATACCTTCCCGGAGGCACACAACTGATAAAAACAGTGGTAATTCCTTTCAGGATCTGTTATTTGCACTACACGAGAACGTTCCAAAAGGTAGGTTCTAATTGCAGCACCAGATATCCTACCATTTGCATCAAACTGGATCTCAACAAACTTTCCAAAACGGCTGCAAACAAGAAAAAAGAAACCTCAGAACAAACCAAGCATGGTAAATCAAAAAAAGCATATTACTAGAAATAAAAATACTACAGTATTTGGCAGGGCAAATGAGATATCACCTAACAATAGAAAACTACAAACTGAAATAAGACATTTTTTGGTAATAAATAAAAAAGACAATTTATTAAGACAGAAAGGACACAAAGACGTGAAAGGATATCACCCACGGAATACAAAACAACCCCTTCTACCAACCTCATCCCCAATGCACACCTTCAACTCATCGACATAAAACATATTGATAACACCCCTTCAACTGAAATAGAAAAAGAAAAAGATACACAGAAACAAACGCCACAGGAAAGACCTCAACACAATACTAACAAACTCACTTCACTAGACTCTATAGTCCCACCAATCAACAAAACCAGCAGAAACTTCAGGATCAACAAGAAAGAAACTCCATCTAAAATCTTCTAAAATTTTCCTTGAACAAGCTGCTGCTTCAGACTCTAGACTGGGAATAACCTTACTCCTCAAATTCCCTTTGTTTACTTTCTGTCATTTAAAGCAATACCAGGACCTTAAAGCACAAATTACAAAACCAAGAGATAAAAGTATCTGGCAACCAAAACAGTAGCAAGAGAGAGAGAGATGGAGGGGAGAGGACGAATTCAAGAAGCTGCAGTGACCTTGAGTTATCATTCCTAACTGTCTTTGCATTGCCAAATGCTTCCAAAAGTGGATTTGACTGGTAGCAAACAGAAAGAAAACCAATGTAAGTTAATTGCTGATCATATAATAATCCAAAAGATCAAAACAGAATAAGGAGTAAGATGAGAGTATCAACAAATATGAATGCCTCAAAAAATAAAAGGGCTTATTTTTGGTTGAACAAAAAATAAAAGGTCAAGTAACACAACTTTAACCAAGATACCAGTCCAAGATAAAGAGAAAATAACTAAAAACAAATTCTGGCTATAATGGACCACACAAAAGAATGTAATATACATCTTGAATATACATGGATCACAAAGATGCCTTCTATGGGAATCCTTCATAGTTTTCAACGGTTTCCACCACAGGGTTGTAGTTTTTGTTGGGTTCTCTGGTCTGTGTTATATAATTGTCTTACTGGTGTATAAGGTTTCAAGTGTGGCTGTATGCATCTAGGATGCTTAATCCTATCTTTTCTTTAGACTATTTTAGTCTTTTTTTCTTTTTACTAAAATAACTTTTGTCTATTTTAGTCTATTTTAGTCTTTTGGATGAGGGAGACATATAGAGCTCCAAGGGGATTCAATTATCAGATTAGAGACGTGCAGCCTTGAGTACAAGAAGATTGGTTCCAAGATCCACAAATTCAATAGCTTCTAATTGTGCTGATGTTCTAACGTGTAAATCTCATAAGACTTTATTTTGTTGCATCTTTTGTACATGTACAACAAAGCACTTATTTTTTGCTACAGCTGTGTCTGGTACGTTTGATAGTAAGGGGCAAGTAGTCAATTCATAACTTTCATGTTTTTTTCACTTTTTCATACAAGTTAACATGTGTCTTCTTTTGTTGCCAATTATTAAGAAAGAAATATTGAATACGAATCTAGGGCAAATCATACTTCAAGAACTTGTTGCTCAACAGTACGATCATCATCAGCAGCCCGGCCACCAACACATGTCAAATACTGCATGATTAGTTTCGTTGTCTCTGTTTTCCCTGCACCACTTTCTCCACTGACCAGAATTGACTGGCTGCGAGACTCACTCACCATTGCCCTAAATTAAGAAAACAAACAAAAGCATGTTGAAAATTCCTCCAAACAAGAAACCATATATTCAAATATAACTCACCAGGTCCACACAAACCTTTGAACATAACACACCTGTATGCTGCATCAGCCACTGCAAAAACATGGGGACTTAACTCGCCTAACCGAGCTCCCTTGTATTGCAGCATCATATGTGCATTATATAGATGTGGAAGCTTAGTAAATGGATTAACTGCAATCAGGATGCTTCCCGTATATGTCTGTCAAGGTTATTAAAGGATGGTTTATGATGAGATGGAAAATCAACTTTGAGCCAAAAAACATCAATTACATACAAAATTTACCATGAACAAACTTTCCATCATGGACATGTCAGCAGCATCTGATGGAGAATATGGACTTAATATGTGTATCATGAGTGATATTTTTAAGGCAGCAAGAGTGGTTTCAATTTGAAACCTCAACAGAAAAAAACTACAAGAATAAAATTCTTCCACTAGAAGCATTGATGCACTATGTGGTTGATTATGGAAGGCGTAGAGATCGTCTCTGAGTGTCACAGTTTTATCAACCGTGGGCTAAGTGGTCAAGGGCATCCCGGTGCTAAATTAGGCTAAAAAACTAGGTGAAGTGAATCTCTTCTTTATGCTTGTATATCTGCACTAACACCCTTACCTTTAAACTGTACCCATTAAGTTGCCTATACAATCAGTCTCCAATGCAAAGGTAATTGAAGGGAGGAAAAAGAAACAAAGGAAATGCCATTGACTGGATCAGTCAAGCCAAACTGCATTGTAGTACAGAATCTTTGTTTCTTTTTTTTTTTTTGAAGGATAAAAAGGAAATTTTATTAAATTGAAAATAAAAGCAGTACATCTCAAAATGATGGTTGTCAAGTTGACAAACCAAATACAGATCAGATCAAACTGTGAAAGAATCAAAACTACAAGGATTCAACTCCAGAGTACCCCAGAAACTCTCTAACAGATCAGATTTATTCACTTGGTCAAACTCTGGAAGGCTAAGAGCCCAAGCTGAAATCAGATTACCCACTCCTGCTATCAAATATTCAATGCTTTTTTCCTTGTCCTCAAAAACTATTCTGTTTCTTTCTTTCCAAATGGACCAGCATACTGTGAATGGGATACAGCTCCACAGGATTTTAGCTTTCTTACTTCCTCTGATTTTCAGCCATTTGGAGAAAATCTCTGCTGGAACCAAAGGATGAAATGCATTCTCTCCAAACAGGTAGAAGAAGAACTTCCAGACAAAATCTGCCACTCTACATGAGAAGAAGAGATGAAGAACTGTTTCTTCCTCCTGGTTGCACATATAACAGCAGTTTGCTAATTGTAAGCATCTGGATTTCAAGTGGTCTGATGTTAGGATACTGTCATGCACCACCAAAGCATTGTAGAAAGGTCTAACTGAAAACCTTCCTTCTCTGCATTCTTTCCACCATATTCCATCTGTTGTAGCTCTGGATATATTTGTATCTTGTAACTTTTCCAATAACAGAATACACTCCTCCACTTCTTGGTCCAACAAAGGTCTTCTGAACTTCGGGTTCCAAATCAGTTGCTCCCCTCTCCACTCATAGCACTGATCAATGATTACTTGTTGATCAAAAAAAAACAATTACTTGTTGATTTGTCAGCTTGTAAAGTCTGGGACACAGCAGACACAGTTTTCCCACCCCAAGCCACTCATCTTCCCAAAACCTTATCTAAGCCCTTCCCCACTTTAAACTTAACTAAAGTTCTAATGTCTTGATTAAATCTCATGATTTCCTTCCATACACTTATCCCATATGAGCTCCTCACCTCCCTTGACTCCCACCCAAACCTCACTATCCCATATTTCCCAACCACTACCCTCCTCCACAAATCCTCCCTCTCTCCCTCTTGCCCAAATCTCCACAGCCATTTCCCTAAAAGTGCTTTGTTGAATGATTTTACCCTTCTCACTCCCCCCTCCTTTGACCTACAGACCTTCTCCCACTTGACCAAATGAAACTTTTTGGTCCCCCACCCCCTCCCATAGAAAGTCCCTCTGAATTTTCCCAATTTTCAAAGCCACTTCTTTGGGAACTCTTAAAAGGGAACTTTAATATTTTGCCTTTTATGTTTTTCCTTCTCTTTACAAGAATGGTCAAGAAACCTCTCCAATCCATTTTATTCTCTTAGTTTTAAATTTTTCATAAAAAAAAAAAGCATTCCTAACTTTTTTGGCTTTATGTCTTCATAATCTGCATGAGTCTTCATACAAACCAGTACATTGGAACATTATTTATGAAAAGAACAAGAAATACAAAAAAAAAAGAACTAATTGGAATCAAAAAAACGAAAAACAAATACATAACATACTGTTTAGGTTCTTATATTGCTTTGACAATGATGATTGAGTTCAACTAATGTTGAATGGATTCAACAACTTCTGCAGATGCCAATTCTTGGAATCACCTTTTCATTTAATGATGCAGATAGCCAAATACAAAAGCAAAGAAAGAAATCATGGAGAATTAAATCAGTTTTCCAAATCCTACACCAGTTTCAGAAAGCAATATGATCTTGTATTGATGCAGTTTTTTATTTAATTTTCTAGCCATAGATGTCTTCAGAACAGGATTCTATTTTTTTTAGAATTTTATTGTCATTTCAAATTTACTATTTACTATTTATGGTAACTTTAGGAGCTACTATTTATAGTAATTCATGCAAGTAATATTTATAGTAGACTTACGATTTATTATGTTTAGTAATTCTGGTGCCTTTAAATTAAGTTAGATTTCAGTAGGATTTGGAAATAATTATTAAAGTTGTTTACAGGTTAGAGTCCTTATTTAGATGTCCTAATGGGCTATCTTTGGGTCTGTCTTAGTTTTAAAGCAATTAGAAGTTGTTTTAGATCAGATTCTGAATCCAAAATGGAGTATGTAAAGGGACATTCCAGTTTACAAGTTGAGTCCATACTCTATTAAATAGAGCCATTGTAATTAGAATTTAAGAAGAATTGATTTGAAGAAATAAAGTTTGGTTTGGTAATTTCTGGTTGTTGCCAGGATTTTTTTCCTTTTTCTCTCTGTCACCTATTTCTTCTTATAAGCATTAAGCAATCTGTCTCTTTGCTGCTTTCCCTAACAGCAAAACTTTTTTCTTTTTTATGACACTAACAAATTTCTCCTTCTTTTTCTATGTTCTTGATCATTCTTTGGTGGACAGCAAACTATCTACTTGTTTTTATACCATTAGCATTCACCCAAAGCCCCGCTTTCACCTCACAAAGGCCACCACCAAATCTTAAATTAGTAGGCCCCTACCCCATCCTACATCATTTAAATAATTCCATAATCCATAGTTTTATATGGTTTCATTGGTGCAAGAGTTCTGAAGATAAAGTTATTAAACCATAAACTTATCAAGAGTTGTAAGGGCACACCACTTAAACTACAAACTACCTAACAATTATCAGGGTTCATTAAGCTGTTTTTAGGTGGTGTTGAATTGTGGCAGCTATAGATATATTTCTACCAGAGCAGAAGGAAATGACACGACAAGGTTGCTCGCAATCTCATAGAATCCTCGAAAATCATTTGAATTTAGAAAAATGGCATGGTATAACAGGACTCTCTTAGGCATGCAACCCACCTAGGAGACAGACGAGTGGACAAGAATTGAAGAGTTACGCAGCAGAGGAAATTCAAAGGTCAGTACAGTTTAAGTTGACAACTCGAGATTTCTTCGTCATGTATAGAAACATTTTTTTTCTTTATTTACCCTTTTTTCACATAGGTAACATCAAACTATATGCAACTTCAGTAGCCAGAGATGCATTCCCACCAGTCCCAAACAGCAGAAAAATCTATCATTTAGATGTAACAAGCAGCTATGAATTCAGCGGCAACAACTACAAAGTTCACTCCATACCAGTAAATGGAGGACGCTCACTTACATATATTTCGTTAAGTGAGTATCTTCTTGCGAGGTTGTAAAGAACTCCAGGTTCATTTAAATACGTTAATTTGGTCATGTCGTCAACTCCGCCATGGTCAGCATCTGGATCCCTCAATAATAATTTCTCACGAGAAATTGAAACCTGAAAAACGATTATAGCAAATGGCGTCCCCGTAACAATGAAAAAATGATGGGAAGCAGACGGAAAGAGAAAGAGAAAATATAAACGAACACAATGAATACAAAGAAAAAAAACGAAAGAAAAGGGAAGAAGAAAAATAAACTCACCTTCTTCCCCGACGATGTGACAACTTGAACTAGTTTTCCAGAAGCGTCAACTACTTCGGCCGGCAACCAGGCAGAGTCTCTGTCTTGTACCCATACCCTGTAGCCCTTGCGGAGATTCATTTTCGCTTCCCGAGAATGGTTAGCGAAGATAGAGTCTGATAAATCCTATGATTTCTGCATAAGCGAAGATCGAATCGAAGTGTGCAATATGCATAGAAGGTCAATGACTGAACTGAAAAAAGCCCTAGAAAGCCTAAGGCCAAGATTGAGTGAACACAGAAGCTCTTACGGGTATACCTGGTGTTAATTCGACTTCCCGCCCTAAACGATGGTGTAGGATAGTCAAATTGATGACATCTCCGGTCTTTTTTTTTCACATATCGTACTCACCACGTCAACCAATACCCAGAAGCTCTTACTCTACTTAATAGTTAATACTAACTTTTGTTCCATTTAATAACCAAGTTGTCTTCCTGTTAGAGGAGGTATTAAGAGTCGTGTGCTTTGTCACGCGGTAACTACTAGTCATCGACTCATCTCTTCAAACATAACTCAAATGGTTCGACTATGGTGGTGGAAAGACGAAAATGCCCCTACTGTTTTAAATTGACGCAGTGCGTAACAAATCTGGTTAAGTTTGGTGATAAACACGATGAACGGATGCCCCAACCCCAAGGTGGCTGATCTGGGATTGGGATCCCTCGAACCAGAGAATCTATCATTTTCCTGTTTCAACATAAACCTCTGAAGTAAGAATAAAGTATGGGAATCTACATAGTTGTCTAATGATCATCGGAAGCCATCAATCGTCACCGTCCAATTGGCGACAAAGTGTTTTATAACACGCCAAAATAAACGCCCTTGATGATCTCCACGTAATACACTTAGTATTAGTGAATTTCGCGAGTTGGGATCCATTCCAATATGATCCGACACCGCACATCTTAAGGCGAGACTGAAGTCACCATGAGACCGGACCCATCATATGTATGAGATGAGTGGTGTCAGTTTCATATTATGCCATGTCCAGCGATGAAAATAAATGCATGGTCCCATACTCTCATTTGTAGTTTTCGAGTTATTCATAAGGTTGTGTTTAGTATGTACATTATATATTTATCTATTTTTTTATTCGTGAATGTAAATATGGTTCACATTTTAAATCGTTTTTGTATTCATATTTTTTTGTTTGAAATCGGTGTAAAGTGTGGATTCATTATTAAATGCTTTAATTATTTTATGTTTCAATGCCTTAATTAGGATTGTTCACGGGTTGGGCTGGGTCGGTTTACTGATGTTTTTCCAACCGATCCAACCTGGTCGGGTTACCTGAAATTAAAACCAAAACCAGCTTGATCGGTTTTAGTCGGTTTGGGTCGATTTTGGCTCTACTTAGTGGTGACTTAGTTGTTGTTCAAGTGTTCATTTTTTGCTCTATATTTCCAAAGGAAACTAGCATTTCCTTAATGTTTTGTGACCCATCCATTGATCAAATTGTGGAAGGAGCAAAGTTTGAGAGTATTATTTGCCAACTGGTGTCCACTTACACTGTAGAGATGAGAGATATATAGTGTAACTAAGTAGGTTGTAACTACTAAGTTGATTTCGGTTTTCATACATGAAAACCAAATCATCGGTTTATGATTTTTTATAATCCAAAACCGACCGGTGCTGAAGAAAACCCGGCCGACTTGGGTTGAGTCGGTCCAGGTTGGTCGGGTTGGGCATTCTTATGAACAGCCCTAGCCTTAACTTTAGTCAAAAAGTTAATTATCAAAATAACACAAAATTGTATCCAAAAAATAGATACGGTAATGTTCTCTCATCATAGTACAAAAGTGTCAAAAAATACAAATTTACTCTGATAATCATTTTTTTTACGTACCAAACAAACGCAAACCAAGGTACATAAATACCCCAAATTGGCATTTGTATCGCAAATAAAAGAGCTTCCATTTGAAATAAGTACAAATACAAATATATGGAGTGCAAAATCTTGTATTTTGTATTATTTTATATGTATTTATACAGTACATATTTTGTATTATTTGTGTTTCTACTCCTTCCAAATTGAACTTAAAAAAAATATATATGTACCGATTTCCATGGTTTTCAAACAAGATCGGACTGGACGGTCGAACTGGAAAAACCGGGAACCGGTCCATTTCCCCCCAAAACCGTTGATTTTCATCAGCAAACTGCTGAATCGGCTAGTTAATTGTTCGAACCATCCGAACCGTTTTAACCGTTTTTCAAATTTATTAAATTTTTTTATTTTTTGTCAGAACGGGCCAGCCATTCGGGTCAGACGGTTGAACCGTCCGGACCCCTGACCGATTCGGTTTTAAAAATCATGCCAATTTCAGAGTTTTAAATAAAATGTTATTCGAATTTGCCCGCCATTTCACCCGCCTTGCATTACGTTGCACGTTGTTTAGTCTAGTTGCATAAAATGTGTAGTATAGTTGAAAAATAATCTCTAAATTATTCACGTTTTGTAAACAACGGTAACAATACAAGTTAATAACGTGTCATTAAAATTAAATTTTCTGGCATGCATCAATAACAGATTAACTATCGGTAACATGCCATAAAGCAATACTTGCTTTGAATTTGTGTTTGACTTGGAACTAGCACATAAAATTTAAAGGTTCGCTTGGTTCGTGGAAATAGGGGTATGGACCACTGTTTGGTTGGATGAAATTAGAATTTTGTTTTTATTATCTTTTTTTTTCATTGGGAATGAAATCTATTATACCTTTATTTTAATTATAATTTGGGTTTTTGTTTAAATCAAATAGATTATGAGAATAGACCATTCTAATTCTAATTTCAATGAATTTTGATTCTAATTCCAATTTCAATTCCAATTACGAATTAGACAAACCCTCATTTTATTTCATTATTGATTCCAATTCCAACTCCCACTATTAATTAATTCCAGTTCCAGTTCTATAACTTGTTACACACACAAAGAGGAATCATTTAGAATCTGGCATATCATAATGAATTTTGGTACATATGCATATCATGTAGGGCTGTCAACGGTATTTCAAATGCCCAATCTATTTATTCCAATGCGAGTGTTAAACCTGATTCTATTTAATATTAGAATTGGATTGATATGTAGTTGAATCGGACTCAAATCCGATCTTATTATAGCCCTAATAGCACGTTTGTTGTTTTCTTTTCTTTTATTATTATTTTTTTTCTCTTCCTCCTGCACTCTCCCTAACTTAACACTGTTGATTACCATTCTCTAACTTAACACTGTTGATTACCATTCTCTAGTGGTCCCTGAAAATGACAAGATGTGCTTCTGCCTTTTTGACCGTTGGGATTGTGCCGAGGAGAACCACGACAAGACCAAGACCTGATGACCACTCTCGATATAACCAAATAGTTCGTTTACTCATACTTGCATTAGTTTGAGTGTAAAGTCATAAATGCTAAATCAGAATAAACAGGCATGATGTTAGAAAATTTACGATCAATCAACTGGTGTCATCAAAGTGGGATGAAATCCAAGTGATATTCATCAAATTTCACCGTCAAATCCTGTCAAAAAATGCTAAATCAGAATAAACAGGCACGATGTTAGAAAATTTACGATCAATCAACTGGTGCCATCAAAGTGGGATGAAATCCAAGTGATAAACAGGCACGATGAAATCCAAGTGAAATCCAAGTGATATTCATCAAATTTCCACCGTCTGTAATCCAAGTGATATTCATCAAGTTATGCAAATGGCGTGAATCTGGATTAGTTGCACTTGATTGATGGGCCGATGATGGCTGTTTTAAGGGTCGTTTAACCAGTAGTAATGCCCTTACATCAGTCATGTGATTGTAGTGGTGTAGGAGATGTAATGAGAGCAAGGATTAACTGAATGTGATGGCTGTTGAGGGAGCCGTGGAATCAATGAAAAGGTTTGCAGTGGGGTCCATGAATTTATTACAAGTAGTTTGTTATTGGTTCCATAGCCTGCTAAATAACCATCATGTTCAACTAATATGAATTCTATATATGGTCGATGTGGAGTGCTATTTTTAGTTAAAAAAACCCTTAACACAACTATCAATTTCCCCGCTTGAGAGGACTTTCAATATATGGCTCCTAACACCCCAAGTTGAATCTATTAGGAGTGGCTTATGGAACATAGATGCTAAACCACCGTGGCTTAGAGAATAATAAAATGTTCTTCCAAACACAAACTGTCCCTAAAAGGGCTCTAAGTAGGCCTATCAATGATATCTAGCTAAAATATCATAGATACCAGGTCGAGATACTGTGGAATTGGATTCAAATTTTGCAAATTGCATTGGATTAATAACTAATCCATTTATACTATAATATTTATTAATTTAATATATAAAATTTACATAATTATATTTAAAATTATAAAAAATATATTTTTATATATTATATTATCTACAAAGTTATGCGAATTCAGTATTCTATACATAGGCTACTTTGTTATATATAAAGTTATGAAGTAATTATTTTTTAATTTTTATATTTTTTAAAAATTTTAAAATAAAATCAGATTAAAATTGAATCCAATCTGGATTTATTATGATTCAAATTCAAATCTGATGTCTTATAATTCAATTACCTATCATGCCCATCATTGATTTGGGATGCCTTTGGTATTACTTATTTTAAGGATTTATCTTCCTTTTTAAGTTAAAATATGGGTATGAACATCAAATTTTTAACTGAAATTTGAAATAAATTATTAAAATAAGAAATCTCAAATGCAGCCTAGACAAATGACAATCAAACGGGCAGATTGGTAAATTGGAGCCATAGAGTGGGTATATGTATGGTGGAGCAATAAATAAAACTATCGAGCTTCATCTTAATTTCCTTTTTTTTCCTTTTTCCAACAGCATCATTTGTACATACTCGATGAATATACCGTATTCGATTGGCTCTTATCAAGTGATGTAGTGTTTCTTCTCTGGATACGCCTCCGAAAAGAAATGATATGCTTCCTGCATTCCTCCATATCCTATTAACAACAGCCAGCTCTTTCTTTTTCCTTTCTGGAAGGGTTTCCTGCACAACAAGTGAATAGGCTTTTCTCGTTTGGATGGTTAAGCAAGCAAATAAACTTACTAACAACAAAATGCTCCGAAGGATGCAGAAGTAGACAAAAGTTAATCTGTCGGTGACAGTAGAAATTGTTGTAGAATAGGCGATTAGTTTATTGGAGTTGAGGTGCCAATCGAAAGGATGACCTCATGGACGCTTGAGTGTAAACTTAGACAAGTCCAGGTGTTAGTATTGCAGTTTACGGAAGCGTATATTGTATCAAGCCACTTCGGATTGTCAGCGTTTGTATTCAAAGAAAAGGAAGAATACAAATAAGAAAAGGGGGAAGGGGAAGTAAAACTCAAAACAGTACCTAC